CTTATTAATATGATTATAAGCTGAAGAAGGAGTTACCTCTCTGATTGTACGACTGAAATCGGAAAATAGGGCGTGATCCTTTGCCTTTGCGCGTGCGCCGTGCGTATGCTCAACCTTGTCGTGCGATTAGATAGGAAAAATAGGGAAATTGCTTGCTGAATATAGAGGTATACTTAGGAAAAATATGCTGCTGAAGGAGGATATCATCTACTGAATATGCCTTAGGAAAATGGGGAAAAAATTCGTACAATTGTCTCCATATATACACGGTCAAGAGGGATGGTGATGATGTGCATGAAACGTGGCCATTTATGGCCTTGACATTTGCTAACTAATGGATCCCTTAGGCATGACTAATCTCCCCAATTTATTCCTCCTTTTAACACGTGTATGCTAAATGAATGGAAGGAAAACAAGTCCTTAAGACTTAGGAAAAGTAGTGTGTACAATTTGGACTTAATACATATATACACACGGCCTTATGGAAATTAAGGGCATTTACCTTAAAACTCACGGCTATATTGCTTACTTAGGGAAGAATTCACTTAGAATTTAATTAATACCAAAGGCTACGGCTTTGGGCCCTAATAAGAGCATTAATTGGCATTAATCACTTGATTTATGTTTAATTATTAATTAAACATAATACTTAATTACCAAAATTATTCCGAACGTAAACGGTACGTCGAATATAAATTTCGGTAATCTCGACTGAACTTAGTTAATTCCGAAAATAATAAACGATAACATTATTATATCGCAACTAAAAACATAATTTATACCGATAAAATATCGGGATATTACGTAGCAATCCGAGCTTTTCCGGCGACCTTTCCTGCTACCCCGGTGTTTTAATCAATCTTTCAGGTCATCATGAGCAACATGGGTAAGTACTTACTCTCTCTACCATTCTATTATTTATTCTTTTATTTTTCTGGGTTTTTGGGTTTTTCTGCACCTTTGTGTGTTCTTCATGTTCTTCGTGTTCTTCGAATTTTCTCTTGAAGATTTTGTGTTGAATCTTGTGTGCACATTCTCTATTCTAATTAACTGTTAACGTGTGGCTGGGTTATAGCATGTAACCACTTGTCGGCTTTTATCATGTGGATTCTTATCAACACACGTTTTCTTCCTTTCTGTACTTCCCTCGAGTTAGCCTCATGTCGGCTTGCCGTCTTGTTTTCAACGAATCACACCATATTACTTTTTCCTTCTTTTGTATTTTCGTCGACTTAGGTGAGTTGATTGTGCTTTGTTTGATTTTGTTTCGTGATGCCTGATCTTCGCTTTTGATTCTTTTTCTTCTAGCTTCTAATTCCGGCTCTTCGCCTTACACACTCGACAAATTGATCGATAGGGGCCTCGACCAATCCGACTCAGGCTCAGTCGAGATAGTCGGTTATAATATGGTTAACGCTTCTCCTTCTTCATTACGAACTTCGACCCCGAAGGTCGACTGGGCTGAGTATGATCAGGCGCTATTAGATTGTGGCCTAGAAGAGGTCTCAAGGAGTCCCCGGGGAGATTCTCCTCGCCT